TATCCAGCACTGACCACCAGCGCTGGGGGTACAGAAGCGACCGTGCATGGTGCTGTCCCACACCGTCTTCGTTTCTGCCGTCTCGGCCTTGATACAGCCGGTGCTCGCAAACGTCACTTGCCCCAACAGTCTGTTGTGGCTATATGGGGAATCTTTACATTTGTGCGTGTGTGCCAAAGAGCCCCCACGCACACAATACCATGCAGCTAGTACCATGAGCGATTAACAAGGTCCATTGCCCGAAACGTCGACTATTATATATTTGTTTTCATTTTAAGGGCGACGGTGTTATTGATGGACGTGTTGAGTTATACGCCTCAACAGATCTCTTCTAGAATTCATAAACCTAATCTCAGTGACCAGTTAGAAAACAAATATAACGAAATGGTGTTGACAGTTGTATTTTTAAAAGTAAATATGGTGCCGTCTTTAGTTATGTTGTTGCTATATTTAAACGAAACAACGAATCTCCGGTCGTGCGTTTAGATAGATAGATAGATCGTTTATTGTCATTGTCACCAGTACAACGAAATTTAAAATGCTCACCAGTCAGGGCATCATTCATAAATTTAAATTAAATAAAACAAGAAAATAAAAATAAAATTAAATGAAAGATAATCAATTTATACTATATATAAAAACAGCCCAAGTATACCCACATACCCACATAAGGTTACATTTTGTCATTGCACATCTCTATTTCACAGTCAATTGTAAACACTATTACTTAATAATTAATTAGCATTATTGAGTGTGGTGATCGCTGTAGGATAAAAGCTCTGTTTGAATCTGTTTGTCCTTGTTTTGACTGATCTGAATCGTCTGCCTGATGGCAACAGCTCAAACAGTGAGTGTCCAGGGTGAGAAGAGTCCTTTATAATGTTCTGTGCTTTTTTGATGCAACGTGAACTGTGTAGTTCTTCCAGTGTGGGGATACGCATTTGCAGAGAGCGGTGTTTTGCAGAAGTATTGTTAATCAAAATTGCATTGGTTTTATGTGGCGTTAATGCCTACTTTCAATTACAAAGGCAGGTGGTGGTGGGTTTAACGACACATTTATACGATAAAAAACCTTCATTACGGAGTTTCAGTTCAAACGACGACTCGTTTGATTGAACTTGAGTGACCCGCGGCGTCGTATAGCGAAATAATACGAACAATACATCACGTTGTAATTCTTCAGTGTGGAGCCGCGAATTATCTACGCCCTCAAGCACGAGTGGAAATGTTTACTTACGTTGTGTGCCAGGTATTAATGGGCTTTGCATGCTGAGCCTTCCCGTGACGCGTGTAAACATATAGGTTTTAACCCTCCCCAAGACGACGTCCGTGAAATCAATAGCGAGCGTATCGCGCATGCAAGCACGGGAAGATGAGCTTTTGTTTTACAATGATAGCACAACAACAATAACATTGAGTTCGTTTGTATCGTAGCATCGTTTTTATGCAACTATATATTTTTGGAGGGGTTTTCTTACCGTACTTTTCACTCCCGGTATTGTTTGTTGTAACTTTCTGACCCGCCCCAAGTTGACATCTGTGAAAAAGCACTTTATAGCTCAACGGATTGCTCAGGCATGAATTAATAATTAGATGTTTAACTGCATCACACAACGCTGTGCAACACACAAACAACGGAGGCGCGTACAGATTAACAGTACCTTCAAATCTAGAATTAGATTAACAGTGCCTCAAAAATGAAAAAAGCAATGATTCAGCCAATGGCTAATTTTCACAGTACACGTGTATTGCAAACGTTTCAGCCCATTAATGACCGTTCATAATACACGTGGGGAGGAAATCGGAGCACCCGAAGAAAAACCCACGCGTGCGAGGGGGCAACACTCGATCCCAATACAGATGGGACAGATGACAAGATTCTTCATTTGCTGTAGCGCCTGCTCCTGGCGACCCATAGTACTGCACCGTTGATTGTGCCGAATTCCTGAATCGTGTCAGCCCAGCTTTGTGTGACACAAAATAAGTGGCCAAATATTGTAACGTGCACAGATTTCATGAGATTTAGAGGCAGGGTAAAGGACAGACAAGCGGGAAGGGAACGGTGGAACCCAGAGGAAACCCATGCAGAATAGCAGGCGATCATATATACAACTCCGCATAGAAAGGTCGGGGAATGGAATCCAGGTTTCGATTTAAAGCTTTCGTGACTGCAGGGATTCATCTTCTTGGTTTTTTTGGTAAAGTCACGTAGAATTGGAATAATATTATGTCCATTCTACGTGAAATAATATTATTTCCATTCTACGTGACTTTTTCCATTCTCCGCGAGTTTACCGAAAGAACCAAGAAGATGAATCCCTGCAATCACGAAAGCTTTAAATCGAAACCTGGGTTCCATTCCCTGACCTTTCTATGCGGAATATAATATTATTTCCATTCTACGTGACTTTACCGAAAGAACCAAGAAGAAGAGGAACCCAGGTTCTTTGTGCTGCGGGGCACAAGGCGTTACCAATGCACGACCCTGTCGCAGCCAAAGAACATCCACACAAAAAAATACACAAAGCTCCTGAATCACAAGCCAAGCATCATTACGCAACCCTGAAGCCGCTGGGGGAGGGGTAAAAAAAAAGTGAGTACGTTTTTGACAGAAGTCGTCATCACCGTCTCAATCGAATGTCTGGAAAACCCAAAGAACAATTCGTGAGGACAACTTTGAAACACAATCGAGGGGAGAGAAATCAAAGTGGGGAGGAGGAGGGGGTAAGTGATCCATCCTCAAGCAATGACACAGCCGTGTATAATAGACTGCATAATCGTGCTTGAAAATTACACGTTAGAACAGATATACAACTCCAGTTCTAACTGCTTAAGCCGTATTCATGGTAGAAATGGTTAAGTAATTTTTTTTCTATCATTCATAATCTTGATACTGGAAAAAAATGTACGATCAATAAACATAATGTAGCATTTAATTATCATAATTAGAACCGGATTAAAGAGTTACATAAATGACAGGAATTCTTATGTGAAACTGACTACATTTGCCTTGAGAAAGTACCCAGGGATGAGACAAGTTCATAACTAAACTGTCACTTTAAGAGCGGAAAGGATGGGTTTCTTAAATCCTTTATATTAAGTTCACTTGCTTGCTTGCTTGCGCGCTTACGACCGTGCAAATCTTTCGGTCGTTTTTTAACCCACTTCCCGTGATCCAATCGAGCTGACATTTTGCACACAGACTCGTTGTGCGTGACAATTTATTTTCGTGAAAAAAACATTTCCAAAATGTTACACTTTTTAGGAAAAAAAATTACATTTAATTACCAATTGCTTAATGGTGACAGGCAATCATCTGACCCGTAGGTGGCAGCCATCTCAAGCCAGAGGACGAGAGGACTCTAGCCGCCCGTTTCAAAGACCAATGTGGGCTGGGTTGTGGCCCATTGAACACGCATATAAAGGATTTATAGTGAAAAACTTTGTTTTTACGGGTTAATTTTTTTTTTATGAAGCAGTCATCGGTTGACAGGGCTAGGACCATTAACTCACTGCACCTCATGTAATCATGAGTGGCCTGACTCTGGATTCAAACCCAGGTTCTCCGTTTCTGAATCTTGAGCCACCGACCATTCACCGCGCACTCGCATGAGTAACTTTCCACTCCATTAAGACCTACGACTTACAATGGAGGTTGGTCCTGTGCTTGGATGTTTGGACGATTCCATCAAATAATTTATATTTTGAGAGTTGGAAGAAAAAAAAAACACGCGAATACACATTCGAAGGCTTGCCAACCAGCCCCCCTAACTGTGGCCCGTTCTTCTGGGAGTAGTGCAGAACCAACGGGATTGACAGCTTAACAATTGTGATTTAACGTGGTCCACCAACCCTCGCGCCTCCTCCGACGCGTAGGATCACGCAGGCGGTGCTTTTCCCCGTAATCCGTGTATGGTAAAAGGACCATGTTTGGTCAGAGACGCGTGCGCACACAAACACGAAGATCCCCCCCCCCTCCCCGTATTGCCTCAAATGAGTGCTGGGGCAAGTGCTGTTAGCGAGCACACCTATGTATGTATGTTGGACTTCTTTCGCACCGTACGTAGCCAAACGCGCACCAATCGGAGGTGCGGTTATGCAAACGGGCACGGCGCACGAGTTGGTAGGTGGCCAGGACCACGTCCGGCCAGCCTTTGTCTCCCCAGTCGCGATGTTTACACACTGCACCAGTAACTCATTTGAGGCTGAGTCTACTTCGGGGAGGCCCAGGATCGGTTCAGATAATCGTTGCTCGTGTTTGCCCTGGGCGGGAATGGAACTCCGTAGCGCAGCGCGCTCAACGCTACCACCACCACCACCGCTGCCCACAGACGCGCGAACGCACAACAGACACACGCTGTGAGCAACAAAGACAAATCAGCACATGGGCAACATGTCTCGCTTAGGGCAGATTGACAGAGAGAGAGAGGGGAGCTTGAGTGATCCCCTATCTCGTGCGCACTGCTAACCAGCACAAATCACACCCCGTGTCAAACGCGTCTCTGCCATCGCTGCTGATGGGGAGCGGTAGCGCAGCAGTTCGTACGCCGCGCTACGAATCACACGGCCCGAGTTCGATTCCCGCTCACGGCCACCAACATCGGTGGCGATTATCTGAACCGATCCTGGGCATCCCCTAGGTCGACTCAGCCTCAAATGAGTACCTGGTGCGGTGTGCAAACATCGCCACTGGGGAGACGAAGGCGGCCGGGCGTGGTGCTGGCCACCCACACTCTCGCGCGCCGTTCCGGCCTTCATAGGTGCTCGCAAACAGCACTTACCCCAACAGTCTGTTCAGGCTATACGGGGGATCTTTGTCTTTGCTGCTGCTGTAGGATGATGCGTGTAGTGGGTGGGCGGGCGAGCGAGCCGGCTCTGCGTTGCTGGATTTGCTATTGCTGCTGCTGCTGCGCGCACAGAGCGAGAGAGAGAGAGCGAGAGAGCCCAGAGTGAGAGAGGGACGCGACAGCGCGGAGGAGTTGATGTCTCTTTCCTGTTCAGCTCCGAATGGAGAGGGGCGTTCGCGACAACTCAGCACCGCTACAAGGCAACAGCGCTGCAGTTGTGGCGGCGTGCGGACTAAGATGGATCGCTCTTCACCATATTAATAATACAAAATACGATTACTAAATACAGTATACAAATACACCAAACCTCCCGTCCGCCTGCACCCGAACGCGAGAGCTGCTCTATTAATAGCGACCGAGTGGTAAGAATAGGGCGCGGGGGAGACGTGTTAAAACACGCTGCAAAGCTGTCTGTCTTTGGCGAATTTAACGGCGTGTGCATTTTTTGTAATGATCGATGTTTAGATAATCTTACTAGCAATCGATATATATTAAACGTAGCACCGGTTACACACCAAAAACAGCAGCGCTGCGCTCAAAGTCGTGCGTTCGACGCGTGCACAACACAGGGAGGAGAGAGCGAGAGATACGCCGTTAACTCACTCAACACACTCACACACTCACTCACACACTGACTCACACACTCACTCACACGCTCACTCACACACTCACTCACACGCTCACTCACACACTCACACACTCACTCACACACTGACTCACACACTCACTCACACGCTCACTCACACACTCACACACTCACTCACTCACACACTCACTTACACGCTCACACACTCACTCACACACTCACTCACTCACACACTCACTCACACGCTCACACACTCACATACTCACTCACACACTCACTCACATACTCACTCACACATTCACACACTCACACACTCACTGACACACTCACTCACATACACACTGACTCACACTCACTCACTCACACACTCACTCACACACTCACTCACACACTTACTCACTCGCTCACTCACACACTCACACACTCACTCACACACTCACTCACACACTCACACACTAACTCACTCACTCACACACTCACTCACAAACTCACTCACATACTCACTCAACTCACTCACTCACACGCTCACTCACTCGCTCACTCACGCACTCACTCACACACTCACTCACACACTCACTCACACACTCACTCACTCACACGCTCACTCACTCACACATTCACTCACTCACACACTCACTGACACACTCAACTCACTCACACACTGACACACTCACTCACTCACACACTCACTCACACACTCACTCACTCGCTCACTCACACACTCACTCACACACTCACTCACGCACTCACTCACACACTCACTCACACACTCACTGACACTCACTCACACACTCAACTCAACTCCCCACGCTCGCACGGAACGCCGCTCCGCCCGTGCTCGCATGGTCAACATACTCGCTCGCTCCGGCACCGCCTGGGGCGGCCTCTCCTTCGCCGTATGCACGGCCCGAGGAGCGAGCATGCCACGAGTTCGTCTTCATTGATGGCCCTGCGCAGTGGAACTAACTACTGCCTGGGCCGCCTTCTGCGCATCACGGGCACCCGCCGAGCCAGGCTGAGGCGCTCCAGCAGCCTGCTGTGTCTGTCCGCCTCCGCCGAGTACTCTCACCGGGGCTCCCCGGCAGGACACGGCGCGGACCATGTTGCCCCGAGCGGGCCAGACAGACACCACCATCACCACCATCATCATCACCAGCAGCAGCAGCAGCACCACCAACACCAACACCGGCATCAACAACGCCTCCAGCAGCAGCAGCATCAGCAGCAGCAGCAGCGCCATCAGCAGCAGCAGCAAGATCACCACCATCACCACCAATACCTCCAGCAGCAGCCACAGCACCAGCAGCAGGAATCTGAGCATCAACGTCAACAGGAGCACGACCACTACGACCATCACCACAATCAACTTCCGTATCACCACCTCCAGCAGCAGCAACAGCAGCAACAACAACAACAACGGCAACACATCGAACAGCACTACCACCATCATCAGCAGCTGCAGCAACAGCAGCAGCAGCAGCATCACGAATACGACATCCCTCGCCAAAGCTACTACCACACCGTCAATCTCCATCATCCTAATCATCATCTCCATCAGCAGCATCATCCGCAGCAGCAGCAGCAGTATCAGCAACAGCAGCAGCAGCAACAGCAAAGCCAATTCCTTAATTCCGAGTTATACAATCACCCCTACTTTCAGCAACACAATCAACATCATCACCATCCTCCTCATACTCTTCATCCTCAACACTATCAATCACAGCAGCAGCAGCAGCAGCACCACCAGCACCTGCAGGAACTTCAACTGCGAGCCCTCCAGCACCAACAACAGCAGCAGCAGCATCAGCATCATCAGGCGTGTGCGGGGGGTACGAGGAGGAGACGGTGGGGGGTTTGGACACCCCTGCGACGCTGGGGGACCAAGTGCCTGGAGAATTGGAGAGTTCGTTTGGCCGGGGCAATGAAACGACAGAACGCGCGTACTCTCACGCTCATCGCTGTCACATTCGTCTATCTGCTGGTGGGTGGAAGTGTGCTGTGGGATGCTGCTGCTGCTGCTGCTGGGTGTAGGGGGACTTGTGTCTGTCCGATAGGTCACAGAGAGAGAGAGAGAGCCATCGGCAGTGAACAGGAGGCCACGTGGCAGTCTGTCGGTGATGGGGTTTCTTCAGTTATGTTTATTCATTTATTCACTCGATGATTATTTAAAAACCCCACCTCCCCCACCGCCCCCCCCCCCGGCCCCCCAGTGACAGCCCGATGGGATTTGGGAAGTAAAACTCTGAAAAGGTAAAGGCGCTGTGCTGCAATGTCTTGCCCACGTCACCGCTGGCGGAGGGGCATCCACTATTTCTTTAGCGCTGTGGGTTTTTTGTGTGTATTTAAGTTTGTTGTCCTTCTCCCGCACGTCCGAATAGCGCGGTCGGCCGCGTACGGTGTGAAAGAAGTTCAACAAACACACATCCACTAGAGGGAGCCCTAGAGAGACCCCCATGGAGGGTCTTTGCTCCGACTCGTCCACGATGGTCGTAGAAGGAGTTGGGAAGTGCTCACGCTTTATCCCACCTCAAGCGACCTGTCGATCGATTAAATTATTAAACGGTGGCGTGTTCATTTACACCGCTGGGACGGTGGATAAAGGCGCCGGTTGAAGGGGGATTAGAGCCTTGGCAAATCATTTCAACTGCCTCTGCCGGCAGATTGAGCTGGCGACCTCAAGATTTCAACACTGCAAGTCGGATGTGCTTTCAATCTGCACGCTGAATTGACGATCGTTGATTTTCAGCACCTTTGTTCGATCTCATTGCTGAATGAATGCCTCCCCGCTGCGCCTTGGCGGCCGTGGGGCTGTTTGACCATACTTCTCCATGCTGGTCGGTGCGGGTTCGTGAATTGAAGGGGGGGGGGTGCTACTCGGATCGGTGTCAGATATCACTGACCAATGATTTCAGTCCTGGTAGGGAATCGAACTCAGGTGGTGCAGTGCGCGCTAACCCCTGCACCACTGATTCACACTTGCCTCTGTATAGCAACGATTTACGCGCCTGATCCCTCGAGTCGATAACGCGAGTTCCACCGTGAGAAGTTTTTGCGATATGGACATACTTGCCCCCCCTTACTGCCATCTGAACGTGGAATTTCCACCGGTGGCTGAGGGCTGCTGACCGAGATGGGTGCCGCCCCATCGTTCGCCTGAGCAAAGTGACGCGTCGAGTATGCACGTAAACCAATAACACATTGGATCATGTTCACATGTGCCTTCTATCACATGTGCTTACAACACACGAATATAATCAACGGCGTCTTATGTCCCTTTAAGCCCCTCTATTTCCCGGGCATCTCCGATGAGCACAGTTGGCTAAGTACGGTGCGAAAGAAGTTCAACATACGTACAGGTGTCGAGCGTGACATCCACTTCTAAGCCGGGGGGTGCGCACTTTTTTTGTCAGTGAATCGCCGAGTGCGGGAATCGAACTGTGTTCTCCGTACGAAGTGGCTTAGTGGCGATCTCGCTGAGCCATCGGCAATTCACCCGTCCCAATGGTGTTGGCGATGGTGGTTTCGCACGCCTGTTATCCAACACTTTGGGAGAGGGGCAAGGGTTGGCGTATCGCAGGCAGATCGTGTTGTCAAACCTCCAAAGTCTGCTGTTGTTGCGGTGAGAGAGCTGTCGAGCAGGTGGGTTTGTGAACCCGTGTGTGCCGACCTTTGAGTGTTTTTTAAATCAATTTGCATGCTCGGTGGGTACTCAGCCTTTCCTGTTACTCCACGTTATTCCTGCACACACTGGTTAGTAAGAAAAAAAATCGGATTTGGCCAAAAGCGTAATGTAGGACCCTCCTTAAAGCAGCAACAGTTGTTTTACAAAATCATTGCAATATTTGGTTCATTCAAAGTCATAATCCAGCCTCGTGGGCTCGGCGGTAGAGCAAGCAGCTCGCAATCGGAAGGTTGCGATTTTTAAATCCTGATTGATCGTCGTCTCGGCCCATCATTCAAATTAGGGTCGATAAAATTAGTACCACATTGTCGGGGAAATCAATTGTGGTTGTCCTAAAGAGTATATGAAAATCGCTGACGTCATTTACAGCTCACTCAAATCGGGTTACCTTAACTGGGAGCCATGGTCAAAGGTAGCCTTCAACGACATGTTGGCGAACATGTTATTAATGCTTGATGCTTATCGACAGTAAAAAAGGGGTGTTGGGGGCTAAATCTATGATTATGGCTTTGATTCACCCATTTAAAATACTCACTGATATATGAGATATTAACTACCTCGCCTGGTGTACAGGAGGTCGTGGGTTCGATCCTGTCCCCGATGTCTGTATATTTGGAGTTTGCGTGTCTCTCTCGTGGTAGCATGGATTTTTCTCCCGGTCCTCTGGTTTTTCCCTCCACATTTATAAACATGCATTTAGAGCATTTGGCTGCTATACATTTGCACGTGATAAGCCACCTGATTGAGTTATTATTTGTGGCCAGGTCACTTCTGTATAAGAGCTATTATAACTCAGTGGGCCTTACCTGGTAAAATAAATAAATGTTTATTTTCTAAATCACGCCTCCTCATTGTATCCATTTGCCTGTAAAACTGATTGCACTGCGAGTTTAAAGACGGCCCCTCAATATTTACCGGTTGCTCGACAGAGTTGAATCATTGCGTTAAAGCCAATACACACAGAGACGAGCTGATGCTGAGCCTCCTGTAAACATCAACAGAGTCGAATGAGATTCTCAGCTCTTGACTTTTACACCAAAACTAACCACGTGAGAAGGATGGTGCCATTCCAGAAAAAAATTTAACATCACGTTTCCATATGCATATTCTGTGACTCCCTAATGTACACATCAACATCCCCTGTAGATTCTAGATTTCAAGCTTTCGTGACTGCAAGGATTCATACTCTTAGTTCTTTCGGTAAAGTCACGTAAGTAAAAAATGAAATTAAAATAATACAAATTTTAAAAATAATAATAATAATAATAAAAATAAAATTATAAATTATAAAATAAAATAATATATTAATCTTAATTCATTTTTTTCCTACGTGACTTTACCGAAAGAACTAAGCGTATGAATCCCCTGTAGAGCCTGTAACAGACTGTAGGGGCAAGTGCTGTTAGCGAGCACCTATGAAAGGCGGCACGGCACACGAGGAGAGGGGTGAGTGGCCAGCAACACACCCAGCCGCCTTTGTCTCCCCAGTAACGATGTCTACACACCGCACACGGTACTCTTTTGGAAGCTGAGTCGACTTAAAGGGGGCCCGGGACCGGTAGAGATCATCGTCACTGGTGTTGGCCGTGAGCGGGAATCGAACCCCGGTCCACCGGTTTCGTAGCGCGACGCACTAACTACTGCGCTGATGCTTCCTACAGCACACACACACGCACAGAAACCTATTGTACTGATCAACACACTTTTTCTGGTATAAGGTATTCCAACGGTTTTGTTAGGATAATTTTGGGGTGCTGATTCCAAATCTGGCATCAGTTTTTGTCTATCACATCAGGTTTTTGAGATATAAAATATTGCATTTTCAATAATAACTGCAGAAGAAAAATATTAAATAAATGTGGATATCTACATAAAATTATATTATAAACACACTATCCTAAAAATACAGCACTATATTTTAACACTAAAGCAGTCACTGACTCGCAAAAACTTGCAATCATAAGTGACAGTTAATTTCGGGTAAAATCAATGAAAATTGGGTATGCCGATAGCATAAAAATGATGTGAGATCAGAGTTGGAATCAGCACCCTGAAATTAGTCTAAAACAGCTGCAAAAGTCCAGGCCAGAAAAAATGTTTTTTTTTTGTTGACCAGTGTTATTATACTTAGCCATGGTCTATCTACTGCCTGGGTGAGGGCCAGAGGTCGCAAACGGGTTTTGATTCCTTACCCGTACCCGTACCCGGCCGCACCAGGGTCGCAAACGGCTACCCGTACCCGGCCGGGTACGGGTAGCCGGGTATCGGGTAGGGTACGGGTATCGGGTACACGGTTGCGACCTCTGGTGAGGGCTTACCCGCAACGTCGCCATGCAAAAACATGCCACGTGCCGTGTCACTCCTGCGCATGCGCTGATCTCATCTTTAAATCACAGACGTACGTACACAATGCGTTTCAGACACACACACACACACGATTCTCATTACTACATCCCCGTGGTGTTCGTGCTCGTGGGTGCAATTCTTTCCTCTGGCTTGCTGCTATTCCATCACCAGTCTTGTCCGCTTGCCATCGTCGTCATCATCATCATCATCTCCGATCACGATGGGTCCTGCCCGAGCCCGTTTATTGTTCCGGTCCATTTGCCTCCTCTCTTTAAATATCGGTAATTCTGAGAACGCATCTCTCCACAGACACTTTTGTGCACACATCAGCGTTCCCTTCCCATGATTATTTTGTAAAGCTCATATTATGCATTCACTGAAAACTAAATTACGTGAACTCGTACCAGTTGTAAGCCCTTACCACTCCGCTCACAAAGCCACGATAATCACCCTGTAATGTTTGTAACCCTGTCGGATCTCAGAGGCGAAGCAGGGGTGAGCCTGGTTACCATCCAAGTGGTTGCCTACTTGGATGGTAACCGCGAGATGGCAGGGACAGCGATGGGTTGTCGGATCCATCTGTGCTGAGCTTTGAATGTAGTGGGATTTCTTTGAAGCACTCCAGTTACACACACTCGTAGTTTTATATTTATGGAATTGGACAGACTTCCTTGTACAAGACCCTCCCGTGTATTGATAGTCGGTGAGGCTTTTTTGGAGAATGTAACAGACATTCGTTTGTTATTTATTGGTGTATGGATGCAGAGGCCCATTGCTAAACCTCCCAGGGGCAGTGAGGGGGAAGAACATTGTTCCAAAAGTCCACGTTTTTAAATCGGGCCGTACATTAATAATAATTAATACATCCATTGTATTTTTTCTTGAAAGAGTCAATAAAATACACATTTTCATGTTCTCAAGGTAGGGGTGCTGTCATCCCCCATTACCGCCCC